GGGTCATATAAAAAAATAAAATAAGAAATACACAAAAAAAAGTTAAAGAGTTTTTTCCCCGGAGGTCGTCTAGTTTTTTTCACTGCTGCCGTTCAGGATTGCTGCGGGTCTAGTTTTCCCGTGGTCGGGTCTAGTTTTTCCCTGGTCGGGTCTAGTTTTCCCTTGGTCGGGTCTAGTTTTTCTTTTGGTCGGGTCTAGTTTTTTCCCTGGTCGGGTCCAGTTTTTCTCTGGTCGGGTCTAGTTTCCCCCTGGTCGGGTTTAATTGTTCCTCTTGTCGGGTCTAATTTTGCCCTGGTCGGGTCTAGTTTTCCCCGGTCGGGTCTAGTTTTCCCCATCGTCGGGTCTTGTTCTTCCTTTGGTCGGGTCGATTTTTTCCCCTGGTCGGGTCTAGTTTTCCCTGTGGTCGGGTCTAGTTCTTCCCTTGTCGGATCCAGTTTTCCACTGGTCGGGTCTAGTTTTTCCTTTGGTCGGGTCTAGTTTTTCCTTTGGTCGGGTCTAGTTTTTCTCTGGTCGGGTCTAGCTTTTCCCTGGTCGGGTCTAATTTTCGCTGTGGTCAGGCTTAGTTTTGACCTGGTCGGGTCTAGTTTCCCCAGCCCTCCTGCGTTGGGTGCTCGTTTTGAATAGAGCACTGCGGTCTCCACCTTCCTTCCTTCCTTCCCGCCTCCTCCTCCTCTCTTCCCTCTTCCTCTCCTCTCTTGCTTCCCTTCTCCGCCTCTCTTCGCTTCTCTTCTCTTCTCTTCTCTTCTCTTCTCTTCTCTTCTCTTCTCTTCTCTTCTCTTCTCTTCTCTTCTCTTCTCTTCTCTTCTCTTCTCTTCTCTTCTCTTCTCTCTCTCTCTTTCTCTCTCTATCTCTCTCTCTCTTCTCTTCTCTTCTCATTGTCTTCTCTTTAACGTCATCTCTGGGGGCTGCGATCTGTGAAACTGTCGCCACTTTCGAGGGTTGCTGGTGGGTCCAGCGGTGTGAGGCACCACGGGACTCAGATTAGACTTCGCCATCCCTGTGTGAAGCTGTCGCCACTTTCGAGGCTGCTGGTGGGTCCAGCGGAGTGAGGCACCACGGGGACTCAGATTAGACCTCGCCACCCCTGGGCGGCTGCGATCTGTGAAACTGTCGCCACTATCGAGGGCTGCTGGTGGGGCCAGCGGAAGGAGGCACCACGGGGACTCAGATTTTGACCACGAGCAATGCTCGCGTGCCCTTGCTCTGCGGTTCGTGCCACGTGGCGCTGCGACTCGAGCTGGCGGTCGTCCTTCGGACCCGCAGAAACATCTGCTGAGCTCGATGAGCTAGGGGAACTACAGGAAAAAAGTGCAGGAAACGGAGGCCGGTCATGCACTCGCCGATACCTCGTTGCTCTGTCATCGTCTTTGCTGTTGCATGATCCTTATCTGGCCTGCCGGCGCCGCGGCTCGAGCTGGCGGTCGCCCTTCGGGCCCGCGGGAACATCATCTGAGACAAGTGGACGCCGCCGCCTTACTTGCAGGCAGCGCATTGCATTCGCGGACAGCAGCATGGCAGACCGCAGTGAGATCCTCAGTCGCGCGGTGTTGCCAAACCTGGTGGAGACGCGCGTGATCGACCTGAAGTCCCAATCGCGCGTGCACTGTACCTGCGTGGCGTTCAGGCACGCGCGTGATGCTGCTCGCTCCGCGTTCAACCAGTACGTCGCCAGTGCAACTCTGGACGATGGACAACCGATTGATGATACGCGACCCCGGCCTTGAGTTTCTTTCCCGCGGGCCGCCCGCAGACCTGGCGGCGCGCCTGCGAGCGTTCAGCTCCCGCGCTGAAGTGCGCGGGAAGGAGGCGGAGAAGCTAGCGGGCGAGCTACGCCTCGCTCGTTCCTTGCACTCTGAACAAGTTTTATCATGTGGAACTCTGCGACGACATGGCGCAGGCAGCGCTGCTGGTTTAGCTCGCACTTGAAAAACGCGGCAGTCTTCTGTCTCCTCCCGCCACTTTCATCGTCGTCCTATTCCCCGCCTCACCTTCTCCATGCATGCTGCTGCTTCCGCGATGGCCTTTCGCCCCCCCCGCCCTCCATTCCATCCCCCTCCTACCCCTCGTTCCCGTACCCGTTCTTCTTCGATCCTGGGGCCTCAAGCCTCGTTCTTTCGATCGTCGTCCTGTGAATCGTGCAACGCATGCGCATCCCATGTAGCTTGCACAGCAAATCGCCGCGTCTACACTGTCGCTGTTCCTGCTAATGTGTGCATACTCCGCTTGCCATTTGATGCGCGTGGGTTGGGTACGTCGCAGGGTAATTTCCAGAGTCGGGTCTAGTTTTCCCCTGGTCGGGCCTAGTTTTCCCTGTGGTCGGGTCTAGTTTTCCCATGGTCGGGTCTAGTTTTCCCCTGGTCGGATCTATTTTTTCCCTGGTCGGGTCTAGTTTTCCCCTTGTCGGGTCTAGTTTTTCCTTTGGTCCGGTTTAGTTTTTCCTTTGGTCAGGTCTAGTTGTTCGTTTGGTCGGGTCTAGTTTTCCCCTAGTCGGGTCTAGTGTTTCCTGTGGTCGGGTCTAGTTTTTCCCCTGGTTGGGTCTACTTTTTCTCTGGTAGGGTCTAGTTTTCCTCTGGTCGGGTCTGGTGATCCCTGTGGTCGGGTCTAGTTTTTCCCTGGTCGGGTCTAGTTTTTCCTTGGTCGGGTCTAGTTTTCCCCTGGTCGGGTCTAGTTTTTCCTCTGGTCGGGTCTAGTTTTTCCCTGGTCGGGTCTAGTTTTCCTCTGGTCGGGTTGAATTTTCCCCTGGTCAGGTCTAATGTTTGCCTTTCGCTCGGTCCAGTTTTTCTCTGGTCGGGTCTAGTTTTTCCCTGGTCGGGTCTAGTTTTCCCCTGGTCGAGTCTAAATGTTCCTTTGGTCGGGTCTAGTTTTTCCTTGGTCGGGTCTAGTTCTTCCTTGGTCGGGTCTGGTTTTCCCTTGGTCGGGTCTAGTTTTTCCTTTGCTCCAGTCTAGTTTTTCTTTCCTCGGATTTAGTTTTTCCCTGGTCGGGTCTATTTATTCTTTGGTCGGGTCTAGTTGTCCCCTGGTCGGGGCTAGTTTTTCCTTGGTCGGGTCTAGTTGTTCGTTTGGTCGGGTCTAGTTTTTCCTTTGGTCGGGTCCTTGTCTTCCCTGGTCAGGTCTAATTTTCCTCTGGTCGGGTCTAGTTAGTTTCCCCTGGTCGGGTCTAATTTTTCCTTTGATCCGGTCTAATGTTTCTTTGCTCGGGTCTAGTTTTTCCCTGGTCGGGTTTACTTTTTCCTTGGTCAGGCTTAGTTTTTCCTTTGGTCGGGTTTAGTTTCCCTTGTCGGGTCTAGTTTTCCCCTGGTCGGGTCTAATTTTCCGATGGTCGGGTCTAGTTGTCGCTGTGGTCAGGCTTAGTTTTTACCTGGTCGGGTCTAGTTGTTCCATGGTCGGGTCTAGTTTTCCCCTGGTCGGGTCTGGTTTTCCCTGTGGTCGGGTCTAGTTTTCCCCTGGTCGGGTCTAGTTTTCCCCTGGTCGGGTCTAGTTTTCCCCTGGTCGGATTTAGTTTTCCTCTGGTCGGGTCTAGTTTTTCCTCTGGTCGGGTCTAGTTTTCCCTGGCTGGGTATAGTTTTCCCCTGGTCGGGTCTAGTTATTTTTTTTTGTTTCCATTGGTCGGCTCTACTTTTTCCCCTGGTCGGGTCTAGTTTTCCCTGTGGTCGGATCTAGTTTTTCCCTGGTCGGATCTAGTTTTTTCATCTGGTCGGGTCTAGTTTTTCCCCTGGTCGGGTCTAATTTTTCCGTTGGTCGGGTCTAGTTTTTCCCTGGTCGGGTCTAATTGTTCCATGGTCGGGTCTAGTTTTCCCCTGGGTTGTTCCTGTGGTCGGGTCTAGTTTTTTCTTGGTCGGATCTAGTTTTCCTCTGGTCGGGTCTAGTTTTCCCCTGGTCGTGCCTAGTTTTTCCTGGTCGGGTATACTTTTCCCCTGGTCGGATCTAGTTTTCCCTGTGGTCGGGTCTAGTTTTCCCCCTGGTCGGGTCTAGTTTTCGCTGTGGTCGGATAGTTCTTCCATGGTCGGATCTAGTTTTCCGCTGGTCGGGTCTAGTTTTCCCCTGGTCGGGTCTAGTTTTTTTCCTTGGTCCGGTCCAGTTTTTCATTGGTCGGGTTTAATTTTTCCCTGGTCGGGTCTAGTTTTCCCTTGGTCGGGTATAGTTTGTCCTGTGGTCGGGTCGCATTTTTCCCTGGACGGATCTAGTTTTCCTTTGGTCGGGTCTAGTTTTCCCTTGGTCGGGTCTAGTTTTTCCTTCGGTCGGGTCTAATTTCCCCTGGTCGGGTTTAGTTTTCCCTGGTCGGCTTTAGTTTTCCCATGGCCGGGTCTAGTTTTTTTTCCTTTGGTCGGGTTTAGTTATTCCCCTGGTCGGGCTTAGTTTTCCCTGTGATCGGGTCTAGTTTCTTCCCTGGTCTGATCTAGATTTCCTCTGGTCGGGTCTAGTTTTCCCTTGGTCGGGTCTAGTTTGTTTTCCCTGTGGTCGGGTCCAACGTTTTCTTTGGTCGGGTGTAGTTTCCCCCTGGTCGGGTCTAGTTTTCCCCTGGTCGGGTTTAGTTCCTCCTTTGGTCGGGTCTAATTTGTCACTGGTCGGGTCTGGTTTTCTCCTGGTCGGGTCTAGTTTTTCCTGTGGGTCGGGTTTTCCCTTGGTCGGATCTAGTTTTCCCTGTGGTCGGGTCTAGTTTTCCCTCGGTCGGGTCTAATTTTCCCCTGGTCGGGTCTAGTTCTCCCCTGGTCGGGTCTAGTTTTGCCTTTGGTCGGGTCTAGTTTTTTTTGGTCGGGCCTAGTTTCTCCCTGGTCGTGCAAAGCAATCCTCCTCCCCCAAACTCTCGTGATGGATGGGAGGGGAAATATTTCTTGAGCCAAAATATGGCGACGATGCAAGATCTCATTCTCTGTCCTCAGCCTGGCCCTGGGAATACCTGCTGGGGTACCCCTCTGAATTGTTACATATCCGAACACCTCTCCTCAGGCATGGAGCGGTGAAGGGCCGAAAAACTGCATCACTGCTTCCAATCTCGGTGATCAATCCGAGATCTTCCGCAACGGCGTGCAAGCCGTCTCTAACAGCACCAAATGACTCTCCAGCCCCTGCTTAGTGAACAGCAGGCGTGGCTGCACAAAACAACTCAGACCAGCCTTGGAAAGAATGGCACAAACGCTCTCTAGGCGCTCTGCCTGCTCGCAGGTGGGGCTCGCGCCAGCAGAGATAATCATCTCGATCAGGCGCTGCTTCCTTACATAGCCCACCCCCAGGCCGATCTTGTTCGCACGAGCAATGGCCCGTAGGTCAGGCACTGTCAACCTTGAAAGAACTAGCTGCACTCTCGCATCTCCGTCGCTTGCGGTCTGCTCAGGAGCTGCGCTGTCATCACTCAGCGTCTCGGGACGCTCATAGCAAACCGCAGTGGAGCCCGCTCTGGCTCCAGCACAACAGCCTACTAGAAAAGACAGCAACGCTATGCTCAAAGCCATCACAATCAGTAGCCAGGGCGCGCCTTTGGCGCCCTCCACCGTCTCCTGGCCGCGCACCGTCGGTAGCAGCGCGCTCACTACCACTGCTCCGAGCGGCACGAGCCGCAGGTTCATGGTCGCCATGTGCTTAAACAGGGTCTCTGCTTCCACATACTTCGTGAGGATGTCCGCAACCATCTCCGTGGTCGCTTCTTTGATCAACTCCAGCTGTCGCAACCGTACACGGTCCTGTAGCCAGAGATACCGTAACTCGAGGTGGCGCACCTTGCCCACACCGTGGCGCTGGCAGATCCCTCTGCCTGCAGCACTGTCGCTGGCCACGACAAGACGCACGGTGACGCCCACCTCTCCAAGGAAGTGCTTCGCCTGCAAACCTCTTGCAGCTCCACTCCCGATGGCGTAGAACTCCGACTCTCCTGACGACAACGCTTGAGTTGCCTGGCTGACCGCGAACGCCTCGACCGTGTGGCCTCCGAAACGAACAACTCCCCCAGAGGTCGAAGTCCTGAAGAGGCTTGTCGTAGACGCCCAGTCGGCATCCGCGTCCACTCGGAGAACCTCTGGTAAGTCCTGGAGCTCGTAGCACCACAGCAGCCTCGGTGCGCCCTCGTAGTACCTGCACAGCCGGTGCAGACGTGCGTTCATCAGGACGTTTGGCTTGCTGACGTGCTGCATAATCGTCTTGGAGCTGAACATAGCATCAGGCCTGTCACTCGAGACATACAGGCTTAGCCCTGCCGCTGAAGAGGTCGACTTGGCCTCGGCCACGGGCAGTGGGTCCGGGGCATTCCTCATGCCTGCCCCCGTAGCCTTTGTTCCAGGGGTAGGCGCAGCCTTGGAACCCGACTTGTGGCCCCAGCGGATGAGCTCCTCCACGTGCTTCGGATCAGCACTCCAGTAGAAGCCTGGCATCCTGGTCTCGGGCAACTCACTCGTGTAGCCCACTATGCGCTTCAAGTAGTTCAGCTCTCCAGGGTAACCTGGGCCTATGCTCTCGGACTCGGTGACCTCGAAGTTCGCCTCCAGGAAGTTGCCGATGGCGTCGAGGGTGTCGCGGTGGCCCTCCGCCAAGAAGTCATCACCGTGGCAGCACATCGTGGCGCCCATGCCGTCACCCACTAAGTTCTCGAAGTAGTAGGTCCCAGCTGTGCCCTTCAACGGTTTGCCTCCTGCGTCATCGATCGCTGCCTTGCTCGTCTCGCCCCAGAGCTGCGAGGCCTTCCTCGTCCCGTTCATCGCCTTGTGCAAAACCCAGCAGAAGCCTTTTGGACACAGCTCCCAACCTGGATGCACGTAGACCAGCTCGTCCAAGTCTGCATTGAAGAACGCCTTGCGGACATCCCAGACACGCAGCAGCCGACGGCGCACGCCGTCAGCATCAGACTTGGATGCTGCGAGGGAAATGATCAGTCTGATGACCATCAGCGGCGGCGTGCCCTGGTGGTTGTCCTCGCGGTGCTTGTCGTTCACCTCGGTCGCGACAAACCTCCAGCGCACCTTGTCGCCCTTCATGTGGGCGATCGGAAAGCCCCTGACGTGCTTCCCCCCTGGCTGGCACTGAGAGATGGGGATCTCCGTGTAGACACCGTACTCCTTCATCGCCTCCAGCTCGTCGCGCCTGCCCTCCTGGTAGAGGTCCTCGTCCAACGGCTCGCCTGAGTAGTAGTCGTAGTGGACCATCTGCGGGCTCTCAACCTCGTCATCCAGACCGCCCGCCCACATGCTGTACAGGCCTGCCACCACTGCGCTCGGGGCCTCCACGGCACGCGCAGCATGGATCAGGCACAGCCGACAGGCGCAGCCTCCACGGTGGTCAGCTCGAAGTGCACACCGTCCTCCATGTGATGGGCATCTGCCGTCACATCGGCTCTCGGCCGTGGGGATCGGGTCCCAGACGGGGTCGTACTCCTCGGAGTCGCCCGCCTCGCAGACCGCGAGCTCACACACCGACATGCCCGCTATGACTGTCACCTCAGGCCTCACCAAGAAGCTCGATCCTCTGGCGCTTGCCGCCCTGGCCCTCGGATCCTGCAGCCTCGACCTGATGCTTGCGAGTCGTGTCCTCCTTGGTGTCCATCGGCGTGTCGGGGATGTTCCCGACAGAGCTCCTGGGGGGTTGGTCCGCCGTGGCCTCCTGCACCTGCGCTCCTGGCCTCGGTGTGCCCGGCGCTCGGTCCTCAGGGTGCGAGCGCTGACTAGGACCAGGCGCACTCTCGGGCACGGGCGAGCCAGGCTCCACGCCAGGCGGCGCTGGTGTCGCTGGCGAGGCTCCCTCAGTCTTGAGCCTCCGCTCGAGCTCCTCCTGGACGATGTGCTCGAACCTCTGCCTGCAAGCGTCGGAGTGCTGTCCTCGCCCCGTGGAACATTTGAGGCATTCTGAAGTCGGTCCATGTCTGTCAATCATCCTCTCTGTGATGTAGAGGCCCTTGGGCCTCGCAATCTCCTTGGCCCTAGCTGGCGCGGGGTCCCAGGGCGTCACGCTGATCTGCCTCAGCAGGTCCTCGGACCAGCGGAACTCCTCGGGCATGCGACGCACCGTGCGCACCTTGAGGAGCCCGCGCTGCAAGTCCACGACTAGGTGCTGGTCGTCAAACTCCGACTTGCCTGCCCACACGCCTTTGGCAAAGCGGGCCTCGAACTTGCCCTGACCGCTGGCTACCCGCCCAGCGATCCGATACCAAACCTGCTCGCCGATCTCGGCGACTTCTCCATCGTACTCCTTGCCAAAGAGAAACTTGTAGGAGGACCCTCCGTGCTCCCGCGGCTGGAATCGTGTGACGTACCAGCCGATCGCGTTCGTCACGAAGGGTAGGATCGGGTGGTCGGCGTCGATCGTGACTTCCAACCGCTTCTCCAGCGCGAACCTGAAGGTCCTCAAGAGGCCCGCTGCCAGAGAGTTGGCGCCTTCCACGCGCCCCATACTTTGATGAGAATGCGCTGCGGCTTTACGAACGATGGTGCCATGGCTCCGATGTTTCTTGACATCTTCGGCTATGGCCACGATAGCGGGTTCGCCATCAGTCAGTAGAACAACTGTGGTGTGACCCCACGAGTCGATCAGCTTTGCCACGTACAGAGTCTTGTATTGCCCAACCATCTTGTTCGTCATCAGTGTGCCCATAGCATTCGACCTCCCGTCTACGATGTTCAGCACAGGGATCATCGTGCGTCTCTCGTCCCTGGGGATGCGCTTGGCCTCGCGAAAAGGAAATAAAAAGAACAAATAAAAAAAAAAAAAAAAAGAGAATCAAAAAAAAAAACAAAAAGAAAGGAAAATAGAGAAAAAATAAAAAAACAAAAAGAGAAAAAAGAAACAAATAAATAAAAATAAAAAAATGAATCAAAGAGAAATGAAAAAAAAGAGAAAAAAGAGAGATAAAAAAAAAAAAAAATAAAAAAAAACGCAATTAAACTTCACAACGAAGCCGTGGAGCATCGTGTACTTCTTGGCGATGTCGTCAGTAGCTGCGAAGAAGAAGTCCATCTCCACGATCGGCACCTGGTCCGCGTCGAGCTCAGGGCTGTCCTGCTGCTTCGGATGAGGTCGCTCACGGCCTCGCCCCATCACGCACACGGGGCACCAGGGCCTGAAGGGCAGGTGGTGTGCTGCATGGGCACGCCTCTCCTGCGCCGTCGGCTGTCCTGGTCTCATGAGCTCCTTCGCTTTCAGGGTGACGTTCTCCGAGGGGTCTGGTCCAAGCGCTCGAGGCAGAGCCCCAGACGAGCTCGTTGGCGCAGTCGTGGGTGCCAGCGTCTTGCGGGCTGCAGCCAAGATCCCCACGGAGTCCTCTAACTCCTGCGGTCGGAGCGCAGCCATGACCTTGCTCTGCTCGGCGTTCTGGCCGTCCTTCAGCAGCTCGTCGAACTCCAAGTAGCAGGCCGAGCGCTCCTTCTTCAGCTTGATCACCTCGGCGCCGTCGGGCGGCAGCATCGGAGCGTCCACGATCCAGTCTCCCATCGGCGAGTGCAACACGGACTGGCCTCGCCTCGTGATGGCATCTGTGGAGAGGACGGGGTACTCGATGTCGGCTACCTCCATGCCCAGCTGCAGGACTGCATCTCCTCGTCGAATCTTGACGTCGGTACGACCATGGTGGGGGACCTTGCTCCCGTCGATCGCATGCAGCTCGTGGATCTTTGACCTCTGGATCGTGTAGCCTGCATCGTACACCATCTGGCTGGGCATCGCCGAGATCTGCGCACCGCTGTCGATCATGATCGCGTCCTTCGGCTTGTGGCTGACCGCTGCGATGCTCGCATGCCTCTCCTCGGCCTCGATCGCCTCAAGACCGAAAACAAACTTGGTGTTGAGGGTGCTGGATGTGGCGTCCGAGCTCGATGTCAAAGCTCTCAGCCCAACTGGGATCGTGCTAGCGCTGCTCGCTGCACACGACGGCCCTGTACCGGTCGCACCTGGGTTCGTCGGCATCGCCGTCGGCAGCGTCCCCGTAGTCGGTAGTGACGGTGCTGTGCCAGCAGACAAGGCTCCAGCCTTAGCTTGAGCTCTTCGCTGCTTCTGCCGATCCTTCTTGTCATGCTTGGCTTTCGTCGCGGCCTCCTCTGCATCCCGTCTCCTATCATCAGCAGCCTTCTTGCGGCACTCCGAGCGTACGTGGTTCGGCTTCTCGCAGTAGCTGCACCACTTCTCGGCGTTCTGGGAGTCGTAGCCCTTGCCTTTCTTGCCCTTGCCGTCCTTGCCGCCCTTCGCCTTGCCGCCCTTGGACTTGCCGCCCTTGAGCGCTCCAATCTCCATGGCGTCGTCGCTCACGCTCCTCTGGGCTGCAAGGGCGTTCACTACCTCTGCTCTCATGTCGGCGTAGGTTGGCAAACTCCGAAGGTTGCGGAACAAGTGCTTCTGGAGGTCAGGTTCCTCTGAGAGAGCCCCCAGGAGGATGCCACGCGAGACGTTCGCCGACACCGTCTCGCCACTCGCCTTCTCGTAGCGGGCGATCTCCTTGTCCAGTTTCATGATCTCCGTGACAATGTCCGCATCCTTGGGGAACACCGTACCTAGAATCTTCCTGAACTGCCCTACGATGTTGCCAGGCGCATTGGGAGAGTACTCGTTCAAGAGCTTCTTCCAAGCCAGGGCGCCCTCTCCCTCTGGTGTATTGGAGAGGATGCTCTCGCCCGTGCTGTCTTCTGGCATCGCCAGCACCAACATAAAGTACAGCTGGCTGGAGAGAGGCTCGAAATCTGGATTATTCACACTGCCTACGTCATTCACCAGCATTGCCACATCAGGTTCGTCCTCGATGGCCTGAAACATCTTTCTGAAACGAAAATCGTTGGCCACCAAGTAGGCCTTCCAGTGAAACTCAAAGGTCTTCCATGAAGAACGTTGGCCGTCAAACTGCTTGACCTTGCCCACTATCTTGCTGTCCAAGATACCTTCCATACGTCGTGGCCCTGCTGGGGGCACTGGTGCTGCTGCTTGCGCTGGTGCTGCTGGCTGGGCCGCGGCCATCCTCTGGAGCTCCTGCGACTGCCTTTGCAGTAAATCTCTCAGCTCTGCAATCTGCTGCGCTTGCAGCTGCACCTGCTGCTCCATGGCGGAAGCTGACCCGTGACTCCTTGGAGTCACTCAGCAAAATGCCGTGGATCATATCATGCTCCGCGCTACCATGCAAAGCAATCCTCCTCCCCCAAACTCTCGTGATGGAGGGGAGGGGAAATATTTCTTGAGCCAAAATATGGCGACGATGCAAGATCTCATTCTCTGTCCTCAGCCTGGCCCTGGGAATACCTGCTGGGGTACCCCTCTGACTTGTTACATATCCGAACAGGTCGGGTCTACTTTTCCCCTGGTCGGGTCTAGTTTTTCCCTGTGGTCGGGTCTAGTTGTTCCTTTGGCCGGTTCTGGTTTTTCTCTGGTCGGTCTAGTTTTCCCCTGGTCGGGTCTAGTTGTTTCTTTGGTCGGGTCTAGCTTTTTCCCTGGTCGGGTTTAATTTTCCTTGGTCGGGTATAGTTTTCCCCTGGTCGGGTCTGGTTATTCCGTTGGTCGGGTCTACTTTTTTCCCTTGGTCGGCTCTAGTTTTCCTTGTGGTCGGGTCTAGTTTTTCCTTGTTCGGATCTAGTTGTCCTTTGGTCGGGTCTAGTTTTCCACTGGTCGGGACTAGTTTTGCCTTTGATCGGGTCCAGTTTTTCTCTGGTCGGGTCTAGTTTTTTCCCTGGTCGGGTCTCGTTTTCCCCTGGTCGGGTCTAGTTCTCCGTTGGTCGGGTCTAGTTTGTCCCTGGTCGCATCTGGTTTTCCTCTGGTCGGGTCTAGTTTTCCCCTGGTCGGGTCTAGTGTTTCCTGTGGTCGGGTCTAATGTTTCTCTGGTCGGGTTTAGTTTCCCCTGCTCGGGTCTAGTTTTTCCATGGTCGGATCGAATTTTCCATGTGGTCGGGTCTAATTTTTCCGATGGTCGGGTCCAGTTTTCCTTGTGGTCGGGTCTAGTTGTTCCTTTGGTCGGGTCTAGTTTTTCTCTGGTCGGGTCTAGTTTTTCCCTGGTCGGCTCTAGTTTTCCCCTGGTCGGGTCTAATGTTTCCTGTGGTCGGGTCTAGTTCCCCTGGTCGGATCTAGTTGCCCTGTGGTCGGGTCTAGTTTTCCCCCAGTCGGGTATATTTGTTTCCTTTGGTCGGGTCTAGTTTTTCCCCTGGTCGGGTCTAGTTGTCCTTGGTCGGGTCTAGTTTTCCCCTGGTCGGGTCTAGTTTTTCCTTTGGACGGGTTTATTATTTCGTTGGCCGGGTGTAGTTTTCCCTGGTCGGGTCTAATTTTCCCTTGGTCGGGTCTAATTTTTTCCTTTGGTCGGATCTAGTGTTTCCCCTGGTCGGGTCTAGTTTTTCCCTGGTCGGATCAAATTTTCCTCTGGTCGGGTCTAATTTTTTCCATGGTCGGATCTAGTTTTCCTCTGGTCGGGTCTACTTTTCCCCTGGTCGGGTCTAGTTTTTCATTTGGTCGTGTCTAGTTTTTCTCTGGTCGGGTGTAGTTTTCCCTGGTCGGGTCTAGTTTTCCCCTGGGCGGGTCTAGTTTTTCCTTTGGTCGGGTCTAAGTTTTCCCTTGGTCGGGTCTCCCCCCCCCCCCCCCGGTGGTCGGGTCTAGTTTTTCCCTGGTCGGATCTAGTTTTCCTCTGGTCGGGTCTAGTTTTCCGCTGGTCGGGTCTAGTTTTCCATTGGTCGGGTCTAGTTTTTCTCTGGTCGGGTCTAGTTTATCCCTGGTCGGGTCTAGTTTTGAGCTGCGTTTTTATGTTCTGTCTGGCTGAAAGGGTTTTTTTTTTTTTTTTTTTTTTTTTTTTTTTTTTTTTTTTTTTGTTTTTCGGGTTGGCGCGCTGCGGGGGCCCCCGCCCCCCCCAAAAAAAACCAACCCCGAAGTTTGTCTCTCGCACCGTAGGTGGAGCCCCCCTGGCGAGCACGATCTGCGCGAGGGGCGTGCCGGAATTGGCGGGAGGGCGCTACGTGAAGACGGAGTTTCTTTGGGGCTTTAGGTGGCGTCTCGAGCCGCGGTCTCCATGATCTTGGAATTGTGAGGATGGGTGATGCGAATCGGATGGTAGCTTTCAGCTTTCGCTGGGATGGCGGGTCGCGGAGAAGGAGGAGGGCTTGGAGAAGCGTCGTAGTTTGAGAAACTCCCAAACCCAGGGGCCCAGGAGCCCAGGAACCTAGGAACTCAGGAACTCAGGCACCTAGGAACTCAGGAGGAACGGAAAAACTTAGGAACCCAGGAACCCAGGAACCCAGGAAACTAAGAAGAAAGGCGGGTCGAAGCAAATTGGAAGCGCTGCGGACGTGCACGGATGTTTCGAGGAGAAGGGCACTTGCGCCCAGTCCTGGCGGGATCGAGATTTCGGAGCAGGGGGCGTTGTAGAATGTAGGGCAAATGCCCGAAAGGCGCGGAGGTTTCGGAGATGGGGGGGGGGGGGGGTGCCGAGAATGTTTGACGGCAGGCGTTCCTACAACCCCTCACTCCTATCAGCGTCCCGGGGGCGGTCTCGCTGTTGAGGCGGAAGATGCGGCCGAAATTGCGTGCCCCCTGGCAACAGTATCGTGGCGACAATCGGGAATGCCGCAGAGGGCGCGCCTGCGCTCGGAGACCAGCCTCCCCCCGAGAGGAGGTCCACGACGCTTCCCCGAGCGGATGGTGGAGGATATCTCGAGCCTCCTCGCAGCATAGAGAGTCAGGAGTTCACACTGGAACGTGCGGCCTTCAGCTGCAGTAGTCCCCTGGGAGTGCTACAGACTGAACAGGCGGTCGTCAGCCACAGCGCGCCGGTGCCTTCCCCTCCAGGAGACAACCGCGCAGGCGTTCCTACAACCCCTCACTCCTATCAGCGTCCTGGAGGCGGTCTCGTTGTTGAGGCGGAAGATGCGGCCGAAATTGCGTCCCCTCGCTCCTACCAGCGCCCTGGGAGCAGAGTCTTGGCGGACGCCGAATATGCGCCCGAAATGGCGCACTCTCCTGGCAACAGCATCGCGACGGCAGTTCGGAAGCTGCGGACGGCACTGCGGGAATCGGATACATTCCGCGCGCAACAGACAGCCAGGAGCTCGTAAATCCAAACGCGGCCGTCAGTTGTTACAATTCTCGCGTCGTGGGGGTGCGTGAAAGTGTGACTGACAGCGGCCCTGGGCGCTCACGATTGGAGGTTTCGCTTGACTCCTGGAGGTGCGCGCGGGCCACAGACGGGCGCGCGTTTGCGATCGGCACAGACCCTCCAGCCAACGCCTCCGAGGCCATCCCCTTGGCAAACGGCCGATACGGAGCCCATTACTTGCAAAGCCTGGGGCTGTCGATACATCTGGTTGGCGGCGAGACCCAACAACGCCCCGCTGCGACTCCGCCCGCCGCCGCCCCTGGTACTTTCGAAGACCCCTCGCTGGGGAACCACGAACATGCCTTTCAGAGGCAGGACGTCGAGGCCATCCGCCAGCTTGTCGAGAGAAGTCCCTTCGCGCCCATTCGCCCTCGCTCCCCTGTCAGCGAATCCGCCCGAACGGACAGCGAACCGCAGCCGCTCCCTCTCGAAGGCCGGGCCACGCTGAGGAAGGCGACCCCCGTCCTGGCGAAAGAAACGGTGTCTGACAACGTGCCTGGGCCAGGTGCGACCCGCAGCACTCCCACACATGGCGAAAGTCACGCTGCGACAGATGGGGGCGCGCTCGTGGACGAGGGCGGGCGCGGGTCTGAAGGCGAGCGCCAACGGGCGGGGCCTGCCCCCGCTTGCCACAGTGCAGCGTTCCTCTCCGCCCCAGCTGCTGGAGGCGACTCGGCCTTCACCTGGCGGCCAACCGCGCGGCCCGCGCCAACCCGCAAGTCCCCGCCAGACTTCCGTGCCCCAGTAGCCGCCGCGCCTCGCGAAGCCATAGTCGATTCCGGCGGCGGACCCAACCAGTCGGAACAGTCGCAGAGCAGCGAACGTGAGCAGCATGCGGAGCAGGAGCCGGAAGAGCCCGATGAGCAGGAGCTGCCGGCCGCCCACGGGGAGGGCGCGGAAGCGGCGCCAGCGCAGGAATGGGAGCATGGGCAAGAACAGGAACAGGCAACCACCCACCGCCACACTCCCCTGGCTGACACTACTTGCCCTGGCCCCTCCCTCCCTGGCAATGGCGCGAGCTCGAGCGCCGAGGAACAACGGCAGCGCGGCCGGAACGTTCCCCCGGCGCGTCTTCGCGGCAGCAGGTGGACGCCCTGCCTAGCCTCTGTGACTGGCGACCTTCCAGTCTCCCCGCCGCCCCTGGGCCGAAACCTGGCCCGTAGCGACGCCGACCGCGCTGGCGGGTCTGGTGGGCGGCAGACGGCAGGCGGCGGACGCAGCAGCAGCAGCCGCAGAAGCAGCAGCAGGCGCCGCGCCGAGGACCAGCCGCTGACCACCCCGCCCCTGGTAGCGGGCCCCGCCGCGCGTCACTGTCCAGAACCTTTAGACCCAGACACGGGACAGCAGCTGTATAAAGCTAAGATCGGCGGCATCCAGTGGGACCCCCCCGGGGAGACACCTGGCGAGGCGATCAAGCGGCTCCAGGTCACCCTGGGAGCGAGGTTCACAGGCGCCCGGCACGCGTTCGCCCAGCAGCACGCCATGCCTGGCAGCAAAGGCGCGCTCGACCCGCGGCGGCACGACCAGCAAACGTGCGTCAATTTCCTGTCCTCCTTCCGCAGCCATACCTGCGACGTGCGGGCCATGGACGACGCGCTGGACCTCGGCGTTGACTGGGCGCAGTTGCGGCTTCGGTACCTGGGTGGAAGTGGCGGCGCGGGCAGGGGGCGCCAGGCGGCGAAGGGCCATGCTGATCGCCGCGCACCCAGGAGGGACCAGAAGCAGTGGAAGGTCGTCACCTGAAGCCGCGGGCGCGCCCGCCCTTGTTTCACCCTAATTCACTCTGGCTTCTCCTGGGTGTGGCCGTGACCCGGCCTTCCAGCGGGCAGCCTTATGCAGCTTGGGTTCTGTGCGGTCGCGACAGGGTCGGGTGTGTCTATCCTACTTGGCTCCTGGCGTTGCCAACAGGTCCACAGGTGTCACAGGTGGCGCACTTCGGATGACTGTTGGTCGTGCGTCGCATCCGCTGGCGCCGCCT